TGAGCAGCCATTAGAAACAACAGTATATTGAGCTATATGGGCAATTGGTCTGACCACCTAGAGACATTATGTTCTTACAGTTCATAGGCTGAAGACTGTTATCATAGGTAAAAACACACAATTACTTTCAACAGTAATACCACTGTCAGGACTTCTAATCAAATTTATAAATGTAAAAAATTATGCAGTAGCCATGGCAAGTATTTTGATTGATTCAAAGTAGCTCTAACACTGCAGAAACTTGACTGCAGGATAGCACAGCGATGGCTTTAAACAAACAAGCATGAATACTTACAACAATTCAGCGACAGAGGCTCCAACCTGCAAAATCTGTCCCGAGAAGCAAAGTAACTACCTGACCTCTTAGCCCACTCCTACTTACTACACTACTTAGATAAAAACTTAGCTTGGACATACTCGTACTGTGGCAAGTGCTAATGAACACTTACGCTCAAAATGAAAAAATGGAAGTATTAGAAAAAGCAAGAAGGGGGAAATAAACCCCTAACTTAAAAACTCCCTATGACTGTGCAGGAAGTAAAACTGAGAGGAAACCACAGGTAAGATTAAGCTGCCTAAAGTCGTTGCTTGTATTAAAAGGCTGCTGTTCCCAAAGACACACTGTCACTAACAAATGGAAAACACAGAAGATACACGAAACAAAGCTGAGAAGTATCAGTTCACTGAACAGGACCAAAGCCAGACCTATAGTAATTAATTAGCTGGTTGTCATGGAAATGGTGTTAATTTGTTCAGGTACAATCTTCTTTCAGATTCTCCTTTAATATAAAGAAAAAAGATAAAGAAGCCAAGAGTTCTAAGAAGGCTTCATATCTGAGAAGCTGAAATTTTACTGCTTTGCATCTTTAAAACACAGTTGAAAAAAGCTAATATAACAACAAATGTTGCTCTACAAATTCTTTTTTTAGTACACCATAATAAAACTTCATGTGTATCGATATTGAAAATAAGATGCTCAAACAAATCTTGCCTACTTCATGCAGGGAGATGTAAAATTGCAGGGAGAAAAATAAATATACATATACATAATTATTGACGGGCAAGAGACAAAGTTCCTAAGTTAAATAAAAGGGACTGCACTCAGAAAGCACTTTCTGAACCCACAAAAGAACTTCTCCCTCCTAAACTAAAAAAAACCCATCAAATCAAGACTTAAAGGAAGAGGTTGTGTTGATTCAAATAAAAGTATTTCAACCATAAAAGCTATCAAAAATGGTACAAGACACAGCAAGAAATTTTGGCCACTATTTTTATTATGGAAACTCTGTAGAAGCTCTTTCTTTCCACCTCTTCTTCACTGCCTTAAATGCTAAAAGTATTTATTTACTCCTTATTTTCTTCTCCACAGATGGCAAAACTAATTTTCCATTCAGAAAATCTTTATGTAACAATTTTACTTAACCTCCACAAACAATTAACATAAAGTAGAGAGAAGCTGTATTGCTCTCTTCATTCTTGCAATGACTCATTTGTACAATGAGCATAAACTTTGATCCACATTTCAAGGACAAACCTGAAATAATCATGCTTTTATGTTCTTCATGTTATTGACTTTTAATAGCTATCCAGGAAGTAACTGACACATGACAAAGCATGGTGTTACTTAGTCCTACCTAACATGCCAAATTCAGAATCATGACTCTAAAGGACTGTAATGTAGTTGGATAAAATGACTGAAAGGATAATTTCTTCCATGTATGACCTCTCTTTCTTATCTTCCTATCTACAAATGCAAGAAAAAGATACCATCACAATGTGTTTTTGAAGTAACAACAACCACGCCACATGGCATACATGCCACACAAAACTCATCCTTCTCTAGTACTCATATTCCTACAGCAACCTCTCAGTTCCACGGAAAACATTAGACAGCTAAAACCCATTTTGTTTGATTGCTGTGCAGGGTGTCATTATCAGTGTAATGTAGTCATGAAAGTGCTATATAAAGCTCACTCCAAAAGAGATGACCACAGGTTTTTCACTACCATGTTGGAGACTACTACAATATATTTCACTGCTTGCACAAGACACTCCAATATTTTTTTCCTGCTTACCAGACCAAGGAGACGATTTTAAATTACAGAATATTCTAAATTTCAAAACTCTTCTAGTGCGCTAAGAGTAACTTCCACTCTTTGACCTTACCACATCAATCCTAGTATTTTTTTTGCAGATGAGTGAGGTTTGATCACTGTACTACAACTAGAACTAAACATAATGTATTTTTGTAAATTTGATTATTTTAATATCTGACAAAGTGTTTTCTAGAAAATTTGAGTATATTTTAATCTTTTCTGATAAAGAAATGATACAGTAGTATCAGTTATGACACTGGTGCTAGCTTAAAATTATCTATATTTCTATACATTTTTTCTTTTTTTGTCATTGTGAAAGATTTTGTCAGTCTTTTTTACTCATTAGATATACCAATGCAATTAAGAATTAGGGGCATGTCTATATTGAGGACCAAACTCCATCGGCCTTGACATTCATGACGCAGCACTGTTGATAATAAGTTAACTCTCAAGTTTCTTGAGGTTTAAGTTTTTATTAAATATTTTCATAGACAGAGAAATTCATTTAAGTCTCATTACATAATCCCACCATTACTGAAGATAAGCTTTTCCTTAGGACTTCTACAGTATACCACACCAACCTCAAGTTTCCACTGATCTTCAATTCTTCTATTAATTAATGGAGAAATGCTGCACTACAGATTGGCACTATACAAAAGTGAGGATGTGGGGTGCAAATCATGTATAGAGGTATACTACATAAGAAAAAATATTCTGAAACAGTGCATCTACCTTAATTCCTTTATTAAATGCATCTGATTCCATCAAAGCACAGTATCACTTTTGTCGACTATGACCCTAGCTCCCAAAAGCTATGCTAAATGGCATAAATTACAATAGTCTTGGTCTGCAAGCAGTGATAGTATATTTTATTAGACCAACTCACATTTGGGTAAAAGAGATGAGCTTTCACACACTCAAGCTTATCTTCAATTATCCTTTCATTTTTGCCTGGGATGAAAGTCAGACTAGCAGTTAAAAGGAACATCCCACATGGCGTTTTAAAAAACTTACATAAGTAAAGCTCTCTCCTTAGTCCTTTGGCACGTTCCCAAAGTTACAGATTTGCTAGTGCAGTTCATTAAAGCTGCTAAACAATGCCAAGGTAAACAGAAACCCAACCACACATCCAAGTTTTTGCTGCTTTATATCATACACACATATCCAGCTACTTTGTGCTGATTTAACCAAACAGTGTATACAGCACATGTAACATCTAGTTTAACCGGGTTCTAAATGTTACCACAGACAGTATCCAGAAAAGAAAGAGGCCTAAAATCCCTTAAAACTGTTTACACACTCTTCTTCAAAACCCAGAAGGCCCCACTTATAACTTATCCCAGTTCTAGCAGCTGTGCTCATCTAAGGAGAAGAAACAATACCAACAATAAAATAATTTTAATGTTTGTCCACACCTTTATACATTTACATGTGCACACCACTTTGTATTTCTAAAATCTTTACATACAGATATTACCCTGGTATTCAATGCCTTTCAAATACTGAAATATGTATTTATTTCATTCAACATCCCTTTTACCACCTCCCCTTCATTTTTATGAAAAGGTGCACCTCTACTTAAGAAACACTTTTAAGAGAACTATCAACCATCCAAAGTGTACATGGGGACACAGAAGGTGAACTGAAAAATGTCCTGAGAAATGCACATGCAGGCTGATATGTACTGCTTTTATGTTTCAAACTAACG